TGATCATCAAGAATAATGGCCTGTAATTTTCTTTTCTTGTAGTGTCCTTGTGTGTGATTTTATTATCATGTGATGTTGGCTTTGTAAAATGAGTTTGACAATGTTCTCTCATCTTCTAATATTTGGAAGAGTTTTAGAAGGGCTAGTGTTAATACCTTAATAATTTTTTAAAAACATTTAAAGTATTTTAGCAAAGAAACACTGGTTTTCTTGCTCTTATTCAAATATAACAGGGACATTCCTACCTCAGGCTTTTTGAACTGAATGGTTCTTCTTCCTGTAATGCACTTCCCAAGATATTTGCAAAGGTTACATTTTTTCTCACCTTTGGGTACTTGTTTAAATTTTGCATTCTAAGTGAAGTCATTCTGGATGGTCAAATTTAAATAATCAGCCTCACTCAAAAAACTTATAGATCTCTTTGCTAATTTATTTTCTCCCCACAGTATATTAATCACATTGTAATATACCACATATTTGAATATTTATGATTTTTTAATTTTTTACAAGGACACACACTTAGGAAACCAGCGTAGCATTTACCCAAGAACAAAATAGGTCACAGGGACAAAAAAGATGGGAGACATAAAATTCCCAAACCAGATGGCTACATTGCTGAATTTTTTCAGACTTTTAGAGAAGACTTAATGCCCATTCTTAAAGTTTTTCAAAAAGTGGAAGAACAGGGAATACTTCCAAACTCATTCTTTGAAGCTGGCATCACTCTAATACCAAAATCAAACAAAGACACCACAAAAAAATAAAATTACAGACCAATATCCCTGATGACAGATGCAAAAATCCTCAACAAAATATTAGCAAACCTAATTCAAAAATACATCAGAAAGATTATCCATCATAATCAAATGGGATTTATTCAGGGTTGCAATGATGGTACATTATTCAAAAATCCATCAACATCATCCACTACATCAACAAAAAGAGGACAAAAATCACATGATCATCTCCATAGACGTTGAAAAAGCATTTGACAAAATTCAATATCCATTCATGATAAAAACTCTCAACAAAATGGGTATAGAGGGCAAGTACCTCAAAATAATAAAGACCATACAAGACAAATCCGCAGCCAACATCATACTTAACAGTGAAAAGCTGAAAGCTTTTCCTCTAAATCAGAAGCAAGACAAGGATGACGACTGTCTCCACTTTTATTCAACATAGTTCTGGAGGTCCTAGCCATGGCAATCAGATACCACAAAGAAATAAAAGGCATCCAGATGTCATGGAACAAGTTAAACTGTCACAATGACATGATATTGTTCATAAAAAACCCTAAAGAATCCACTCCAAAAGTACTAGAACTAAAAACTGAATTCAGCAATGCTGTAGGACATAAAATTAATACACAGAAATGTGTTGCATTAATATATACTAATGATGCACTAGCAGAAAGAGAAATCAGGACAATTCCATTTACAATTGCATCAAAAAGAATAAAATACCTAGGAATAAACCTAAACAAGGAGATGAAACACCTATACCATGAAAATTACAAGATGCTCTTGAAAGAAATTAAAGGAGAAACCAAGAAATGGAAATACATCCCATGCTCATGGATAGGAAGAATTAATATTGTCTATTGCCATCCTGCCTTAAAGAATCTACAGATTCAATACAATCCCTATCAAAATACTGAGAGCATTTGTCAATGAACTAGAAAAAAAATAGTTCTAAAATTCATATGGAAGCAACCACAAAAGACCCTAAACAGCCAAGCCATCAGGGGAAGGAAGAATAAAGCTGGGGGAATTTCACTTCCCAACTTCAAGCTCTACTGCAAAGTCACTGTAATCAAGACGATTTGGTAACTGGCACAAGAACAGACCCATAGATCAATGGAATAGAATAGAGTGTCCAGATACAAACCCATACATATATGGCCAATGAATGTAATAAAGGTGCCATGGATATACAATGGATAAATGACAGCCTTTTCAAAAACTGATGTTGGCAAACTGGACAGCTAGATGTAAAAGTGAAACTAGATTACTCTCTAACTCCATACACAAAAGTAAACTCGAAATTGATAAAAGACCTGAATATAATTCCTGAAACATAAAACTCTTAGAAGAAAACGTAGGCAAAAATCTCTTGAATATATATGAGAAACTTTTTCCTGAACACATTTCCTTAGGTAAGGGAAACAAAAGCAAAAATGAACAAACAGGACTACATCAAGCTAAAAAGCTTCCATATAGCAAAGGACACTATCAACAGAACAAAAAGGCATCCTACCATATGGGAGATTATATTCGTAAATGACATATCTGATAAGGGGTTGACATGCAAAATATATAAAGAACTCACAAGCCTTAATACCCTAAAAGTAAATAACACAGTTAATAAATGGGCATAGAATCTGAACAGACACTTCTCCAAAGAAGAAATTCAGATGGCCATCAGGCACATGAAAAGATGCTCCACATTGCTAATCATCAGAGAAATGCAAATTAAAACCACAATGAAATGTCACCTCACACCAGTTAGGTTGGCCAACATCCAAAAGACAAGCAACAACAAGTGCTGGCGAGGATGCAGAGCAAAAGGAACCCTCCTACACTGCTGGTGGGAATGTAAACTAGTTCAACCTTTGTGGAAAGCAGTATGGGGGTCCCTCAAAAAAATGAAAATAGAAATATCATTTGACCCAGAAATTCTACTCCTAGGAATTTACTAGAAATTTCCTAGAAATTCTACTCCTAGGAATCAAGCAAGATCCCTGATTCAAAAAGACATATGCGTCCCTATGTTTATCACAGCACTATTTACAATAGTCAAGATATGCAAGCAACCTAAGTGTCCACTGGTAGATGAATGGATAAAGATCTGGTACATATGCACAATGGAATATTACTCAGCTATGAGAAGAAAACAAATCCTACCATTTATAACAATATGGATGGAGATAGAGGGTATTATGCTTAGTGGAATAGGTTGGGCAGAGAAAGACAAGTACCAAATGATTTCACTCATTTGTAGCATATAACAAAGCAAAAACTGAAGGGAAAAAAACAGCAGCAGACTCAGACTCCTGGAAGGTACTAGCACTTGCCAAAGAGAAGAAGGTCAGGAGGGTGGGTGATAAGGGAGGGAGAAGGGGATTAAGGATCTTATGATTAGCACACATAATGTAGGGGGAGCACGGGGAAGGCAGTATAGCACAGAGAAGACAAGTAGTGACTCTACAGCATCTTACTATGCTGGTGGACAGTGACTGTAATGGGGTGTACGGTGGGGACTTGGTGATAGGGGGGAATGTATTAACCACAATGTTGCTCATATGAAACCTTCATAAGATTGTATATCAATGACACCTTAATAAAAAGTAAAAGAAAGACTGGAGACACAAGTCCCCATGTATGAGAGACTCTATATAAATTTAAGCATGGCTCAACTATTAATGAAAAAAGGAGGGGTTCTTAGCGTTAGGAAAGCTGCCTTACTATGTGGAGGAAATGCAACTGGATATCTATCAACTAATCCAAGTGTGAATTATAGCTGTTTCTATGACATTAATATTAAGGATAAGCAATATATCTATTTTTCTTAGGGAAGTGTAGCTATTTCTGTTATAAAAATCATTGTGACCTGGAGTTGGGAAGAGCTTCTCAGCCAAATGTCCAGTGCAGAAATTACAGGTGAAGCATCTGATAAGGCAGTGTCTGAGATGAATCATGATGGCAATATGGCATGAACTGCAGAAAATGTAATATAATACAACACCTCAATCATGAAAAGGGCAAAAGTGGAAAAAAGGTATAAAGAGAAGGACAGGCTGGGAAAGTGAGAGGGACAGGCCCAGCAGAAGAGGGAGAAAGAAGAGGAGGAGACAGAGAAGAAGTGCAGCCTATTTTGACTTTAGGACACCTTGCTGAAGTCTTCATATTCTTGAATCTCTGGAAACATTTGATATCAAGTCATGATTGGTATCCCACCTGTCTTCCTAAAGCTGTGACACCTCCTCCAGGAGCAGTATCTTTTATCTGTAGAGGAAGATTTATGTAAGAAAATCATTCAGAGCTCCATAACATTGAGTTTTAGCTTCTGCTGTGTTAATAGGTAGGCACAAGTGGTCATAGGTCACAAATTCCAATCCCTGGGTGGAATTGGAAGCCTTTGGGAAGAAAGGCTAGCATGGGAATTGATGAGGGGTCAGCACGTTTACTAATTTCAGAACTCAGATCGCTATCCTGACAGGGACTTAGGATGTTCTGGTGCTCTAAGTGTGTCTCAAAACACTGGCTAGGAAATACCAGAAGCAGACCTTCTTAGGGGGTGTATTTTAAATCTCACTAGTCCCATGTATGTAGCTGGTGAAGAAATGGAAGGAAATGAACACAGGCAATTACACCCAACTATTTGGTCACAAATGTTCACCTTAATTGGAATTACCTGTAAGAGTCATCCTAAGAGTTTCACGGATCCCACTGAAAACCAGGGTCCAACTTCAGGCAGCATCTTTCCCTTTGTGTCTATGTGGGCGTCACAGATTCTGCTTGAGGTATTTGTAATGAGGACCATTTACTAAGTAGAGATCATGGGCAAAGTGAGAAAACAGCGGAAGGTTACAAAAATTAAAAGTTACTTCTTTGGAGGGATTTTTAAAAATCTGTACTTAATTAGAACAAGTGAGAAAGTGAGGGAGTGGAAGTGAGGAAGAAAATATGAAGGTAGGCATAGACGTAATGTAAAGATACCATATGTAGAAGAGAAAGCACAGAGTATGAGTCAAAGAATGCATTTGTGGACAAATGCCCCTGGAGTTTTGAATGGATCAACTCCTTAAACGGAAAACAAAGGCAATCTGTATTGTCTTTTATCTTTACTGCCTTTACATATGTAAAAGAATCTATGCAGACAACACTATCATTATCCCTTGTTGAATAACAGAATGTACATGATTTAAAAACTGATGCTATAGTTTTGAATATTTTGAGCACTTCTTGAAGTTGAAAGCAAAATTATTTCTTTTACAGGAACCGTGTGGGCTCAGCACTTACTAAGCCTGATTTATTGTGAAGAGTATCGCAAAAGAACTGCAAATGTGGACACAGTTTATCGAGTCCGCCATCTTGAATACAGTCCCGACCCAAGTGACCTTGACAGAAGCCCTTCTCCTCGTCTGTTCTGTAGCCACATTCCGTACTACTTGGCTCCCAGAGGGCTGAAGAAACAAAAAGCCAAAGTAGGAAAGAGATGATGCCTGCTCAAAGATTGTTCTTTTCATTACTTCATTTTCCATTACACTGATACTACATGCATCTAATTGTTATCTAATGTGCTATTTTGCATACTGTAATTTTCATTAGCATTTGCATTCTTATTTATAACATTTAATTTTATTTTCACCTTGTCCTTTTCTCATTATATAATAATACAGGTTATTTAAAAGTAAAGCATACTTTATAAATGTATAAATATATACATTTATATATTTTACATTAAAGAATATATTATAATAGCATATATAATACATATATGATATTTGTCTCTAATTTTAAATTATCTCTATCAATAAGTATACACATAAATACCAGAAATTTCTTTTCCTTTCCCTCTAGGGCCTTCTCTGCTTCCCTAGACATTCCCGATTTATTTCCCATTACCTATCAAAGCTCAACCTTCATGAAAAATCAAAGGATCTTCAAAACAAATCAGTCTTCTCTATAGAGTGATTCTTTCTCCCTCTCGTTGATCTTTCCTGGATCAATCATCTCCATGTATTGAAAATTTTAGGTCTTGGCTACTTTCCTTGCTCTCACTTTTGCTCCCATCACTCACAGAATAATTTCAAAGTTCATGTGAATTGTCTTCTGGCAGGGTCACACAAGGAGAGGCCAACAAGGCACCAGTGCCCAAAGTCCAGGGAGGACCTCACTTTCAGGGTGCAACAAATGCACAAAGTTCCTTCTTCAAGTTTGCCCCCAGGCCCTGCCCTGGCCTCCTTCCATTCCCAATCCCACCAACCTCAGTGTGAAATTCCCAACACCAGTGATCTTTCCTCCACTGACCTCAGCTCCCCTTCTAACCCTCTTATAAACTATTTATTTATGGTGCTCATTGCTTTCTGAATTAANATTATCTTTTTTTTGACATGAGTGTGAAACCATGAGAAAGTACAGGTTTGTTCAAGGCTGAGTTCGCAATGCTGAAAACAGTGGCCCTCAAGTAGTGGACTTGAAGGAAGGACTCACCCGTAATTGCACTAATTAAATCATGACTTCAAGCCCCTTGTTCAGAATGCTGCCTCCTAGTCTGCCTGTTCCTTGCTGGCATTCCCATCCCAGCCTGTGTCAGCATCATTCAGAATCCATCCCCTCCAGTCTTCTGGCGAAGAGAGCCCTACTTCCTCACTGTATTTTAGTACTCTGCTCCCTTCTTTCTAAAGCCACTTGCTCCTTTTGTCTCTGTTATTATCAGCTGGGAAACCCTAACTCTTACAACACAACTGGAATGCATTCCTAACTTGTTCAGAGATCTGAGTGACTAGGATAAAATATAAATATTTCAAAGTTGTGCCTGCCCTTTAATCTGGCCAAAGTTCTCAAATTCTATTACTTTAAATGTTTCACTTTCTTGGTTTACAAAATGAATATATGATATTTTCTTTCTTCTTTGGAAACCTCAACAACATTCTGCTCCAAGCCTCCAGAGAGTTAATGACCTACTTTTCAAAATGTTACCCTCACTGGTGTCCCCTCAGTGCCCTTCTTAAAAGAAAAAGTGCAGTGTGTACACTGTATCTGTTCCTTCCTATTAGAAATCAGCCTCTCTGTGGTCAGAGTCTGTTTTTGTCATCCCCAGTGTGCATCAAATGGGGTGATTTTGTCTCCATTGGATATTTGGAACTGTCTGGAGGCGTTTTGGCTGGGGTTGTGCTGGTACTGCTGGTTTGTTGTGAGATGAGACCAGGAATGCTATTAAATAGGCAACATTGCACACCGGAAGAGCCTACAATGGAGAATTAATTGGTCCAAAATAACAGAATAGCCCCTTTGGGAAACTTGTTCTATCCTCAGATTTGGCATGAGTAATAATTTCCTTCTTTTCAACTCATCATCAATTTCTCCTTCTTTCCTGATCATACTCTTTGGCACAGAATCATGTTGTCATTTTACACATTTTTGAAAGAGACAGAACTCTGCTTCTTCCATATCAATTTTTAGCTGCTGCTTTTCTGTTCTTTGAGCTAATCTGACAAAAATTGACTTTGGCCTCTAACTTTCATTCATGCCTCAAAGTCAATATCACATATTTCTTATATTTTATAAACCAAGGACTCAATTTCCTATCATCTTATATGGTCTATCCATGGCATCTAACATAGTTGATTGTTTTCCCCTTCTTTACATGTTTTCTTTTCCTATTTTATCAAGTAAAAGTAGAAATGTAGGAAACCTTTAACAATTTGAAAACATTTAGATAATGAGTTAACCTAACTTGTTGACTCTAATGTTAGGTCTTTGTGTTTTGTTTTGTTTGGTTTGGTTTTGCTTATTCAGAAAAATCAGCCCCTGCATTATTTAGGGTTTTCTCTAATGGTACAGTGTGCATCTGAGATACTTTTCCTTCCTCCTTCTGGCTTTTCCTTATCTGTTTAACCTCTAAGTGCTGATCCTGGAAGTATCTGACCTGGCCTTCTCCATCTCTCCCTCTGCACTTATTACTTAGTTCATATTACATAACACCACAGCTTTAAATAAAATGTATATACTGATAACTTGCATGATTGTCTACCTAAAGAGGCAGGAACTCTTACGCTGTGATTACACTGTCACTTTAAATAAACAACAGACATATGACAAGAAGTAATTCACAAACCATAGTTAGAGACATGAGGAATCATAACAAGGGGCTGAAAATGAATTCTTTGCTTCACCTATTATCCTTTGCAAAAGTGCCATTCATTTATTTACAGAAATATCAGTCATCATTGATATTTGTTTGATATAATCAAACACTTTGTTGATTTCAAACAAGTGCCATGGCTACAAGACTCTCCTTCCTTGGCAGTGTGGGTCACTTAGGGACAAGACGAGCATAGAAATACTGAGAATCCATCAATTCATCTCCTGTCATGAATCTTTGTCACCAGGCACTGCACAGGGAGGGGAAAGGTGGCTAAAACCTTCTCTTTACCTGAACTGGATGTTCGCCAAGAAGAGAAACAACAGATACACATGTCAATTCTCAACAGAGATGCAAGGTCTGGGGATTATAGAGTGATGCTGAATGTTCTGTACACACAGAGAATAAGGCCCTTAAACATGGACTGGGAAGATATAAATGATATTTTGTATTCCTGTAAGATTAGCTTGCTTATTGTTGTTAAGGAATTATTTCTTCTAGTTGATTATCATAAACAATGTTTTAAGTGAACCCTCTATTCCTTTCATGTAAAAAATACTTGACGAATAAGTAACCTGTGTGTGCCAAGCAGTTGCATTTCCTCTGTCAGTACAGAAGATGTTAAGTGTACACTGAAGGGTAAGAATAACACACTTTGAGTTCTATTTTTGTATTGAAATGTGTTAGTAAGGTGTTCCAGTTCTCATAGAATTTTATAGTTTATGAAGCACTTACATCTGCATTAGCTATTTATTGCAGGGGAGAACGATGTTGCTCTCTCCACCTGGGAAGTTAAGAAGAGGTGAATCCTGAGATGGGTCTTGAAGAGCTATTGATAGTCCAGGCCAAGCAGGGAGGGAGAGACATTGAGGGAATGAGGAAGTTGAATACAAAGATGACAACTGAGCACATACACGACATGGTTGGGAAGTTGTGGATACTCACATTAATTGGTCCCATACAATTGAAGTGCCTTCAGGGGAAATTATGATGGAATGAAAGGAACAGTAACAATGATTCCCTCTTTTTCCTGCAGATTATTTATTTATACAGGAATCCTAAAGATGTTATGTGCTCATTTTTTCATTTTTCAAAAATGCTGAGTGTACTGAAACCATCAGCCAATATGGAGGAATTTATGGAACTCTTTTTAGAAGGAAAAGGTAACTGACCTTATAAACCTAGCCATAAGTTCAGACCTGTGGGAAGTTTTTCAGTTTAGTGAATCTGGCAGAGGAGTATTGGTGAAATGGAATAGAGTGGGTTCAGTGTGCCATTTATCAAGCCATTGGTGGGGTTATCTTGAATACAAATTCTACTCACTGTCACACAAACTCTGCATATTGTTAAGATTACAAAGTCATGCTATAAGTAAATATTTATATTTGATCATGATAGGAGTGTGAACAGATTTGGAACTCAGAGGTTTCTGTTCTAGTTCAGCCGAAAAGGGAGCTCAGTGTAGATCACAGTAGGTTTGGGGCTTTCGCAGTACATAGTATATAGTGCGTGTGGCAACATCCAGAGGCTTCTATGGGAGAAAGTTCTGTTCTGCATTGTGTTCTGGGGAGTCAGTGTGGCTGGTAGACCAGGAGAAAGGCCTGCTGTGATAGAGATGATGTTCTGGCACAGGAGAAGTAAGTTTAGGTTCTGCATCCTGTCCAGAGCTGAAGGAACTCCTCAGGGAGTGCACATGGTCCACTGAGTGGAGCAGCTCTATGTGCCTTTGGGGTCAGTGGGAGGAGTGGATCAGAGGGAATTTGTTCCTATGACTGTTGATTTTTTTTCCCTTATTAATCCAACTTTTAAATGCTTTTCTATTTATTTAAAACATGTTTGTAAGAAAAAAAACTACTTATCCTTAAATGCACACGATATTTTCCTGGTGGCACACGGGTGATTCACCTGTTAATCATGTGACAGAGAACAAACTGCCATCTAGCAACAGTGTTTCTTTCCCTTCTATTATTGTTACTAAACATTATAAGTTTTTTTGTTAAGTATATATTGTTACTGCACCTCATAAGAAGGCTATAGCTTATTTCTTAACCTCTCCAACACATTTATCTAATTCCTTCTCTATCTTCCCACAGTACTGGGAAGTCTTTGGTTTGACCATATCAGAGGTTGGTGCGAGCACAAAAGTCACTTCAATATTCAGTTCATAATGTATGAGAACATGATAAAGGTGAGAAGAGATTATAGCTCTATTTTAACCTACATTGTAACCCTGCCTGACCTAATGAACTGATGATTTCATATCTGGAATTCTCGAAGACAATATTGAGTTAGAGATCCAAGATGCAGTGTTACAGAGACTTTTTCCATGTCATCTCCATATTCTATTTGCTAGGTTTTCATTTACAGTATGGATTTAAATTTTCTTTTAATAAACATATGTGTGTGAGGGGTTTGTGGGTATATGCAGGGCTTCAAATGCTTGATTATTTTGAACCAGAATAGTTCTTTCTCAGTCAAGTTTATACTTTCTATGTTATACATTATTCATCCTTTTGACATTCTGGATTTAGTTTATCACACTGGGATATATTTGTTGTGAAATATAATCTTGTGAGCCTTCTGCTGAGTAAGCCTGATAGGACAATTTAAAATGAAATGTCTGTGTTTCTTTAAGAAAAGTGCAGCTCCTAATAAGAGTCAATTACAAGTGGTTGAAGCATAAGGATATCCACTGTTTGTTGACTGAAATCTAGAGTCAGGCTATCATGAGGCTGGTTATGTCAGCTAAAGGATGTCATAAATGTTCCAAGAATTTTCTATTTCCTTTTTTTATCGTATTTGGTGTGGCATTGATCCTCCTCTCATATTTGGAAGATGGTTGTCATTGTGCCAATCTCATGTCCTGTGAGGACAGGATAGACAGCACCCACAGTGAAAATAGAAGGAACAGGAACATTAAGGACTTTTTCCCTTGCTCTGTTCTCAGTTTCACCCTAGGAGGAAAATCAATCTCAGAAGTTTCTATTTGACTGTGTCTTTGTGTTTCAATGCCAAAAGTGCATCAGTCACCTCTCTAGACTTATCTGTGTAAAGGGGAGTGGTACTGTCATTAGGATCTCAGCTCAAACAAGACCTGTCCTGGAACTGCTGCCAGGATACCAGAAGGGATCTTTTAGCAGGAAAGATGAGGATGAGCAGAAATGCAGGCAACAACTAATGGCTGCACCAGCTGAATGTTCATGGCCAGCTTTGGTCAAAATCTACCCCTAAGTCATGATAGAATCCTAGATTCTCCTGTTGAGTCTATAACAGCTACCAAGAGAGATTCAAGTATCTGGATGGGTTTGCATCCCTCCTCCCAGTAGGGCTTCCTCAGTGCCTCCAGACACTTCTGACCTTCTCATCCCTGGCCTATTCCCAGCTACCTGCAGGGAATCTGAATATCTAACTTTTCTGTGAACTGACACCTCACAAGTTCCATGCAACCACAGTATTGTATATACTGACCCTTTAGTCTGGATTATGTATTTCCAACTTTGCCTCCCCAGGAAAACTCTGTTTCCATTTAAGACTTATGACATATTTTTCTTGCTCCCTGAAATTTTCTCTGAAATCTGTTGCACACTGACTCTCTCCCATGTGTTGATATACTCAATGCAAGCTCTGATTCCATTGCTATCCCTCTGGTCAATTGCACTGTCAAACAGGGCCGTGTCTGATAAATAGTAGCTGCTCATGTGGTTTTCTGTTGAGCACAGATAAAACGAAATGTGAGTGCTCTTGAAGTACACCAAAATCAGGAGTAAAACTCTTGACAAAGGAAAAACTAATTTACCAAGAAAGAATAAATGAACTACCTTCCCATTGTGTAATTTCAAATTTATAACCAACATAACAAATTACATTTTTCTTTCCATGTTGTTGTTTCATTGTGGCATTTGCTCAAGTATTCTTTGTTATAATTTGCCTAATGTATCAGTCTCTGCTTTACTTCAGGATCTGAGAAGTTCTACATTAAAAGTCTGTAAATTTCTGGGGAAAGAATTGAGTAAGGAAGACATGGATGCTGTTGTGAGTCAGGCCATGTTTGAAAACATGAAGTCTGACCCACGTGCAAATTATGAAAACGTACTAAAGAGACGACATGATTTGAGAAGAACAGATGGCCATTTCCTTCGCAAAGGTGAAGTTCAGCATGAAATTTTTTTGTTTTGTGATGTAAATCATCCAAAGTTCAGCATTTTTATTATTTTGAACCAGAATATTTCTTCTGGACCTCTTGCCAGCATTTCCCATAATGGAGCACTCCTTGTCCCATTCCCTCCTCCACACAGTTGATTTCTTTGTGTTTTCTGTTCCATGCTCTTTGTGAGACTATATTATTTGGTCCCTGAAAGTGGACCTACTGAGGAGTAACCTACAATCACAAGGTCTTTACATGTCCCCTACAAATCTACCAATGCCTAGCACAGAACCTGCAACAAAATGGATGTTCATTCAGTGTTAGATGGTTTCCCTTCATTAATATGGCCACGTTACAATGATGAGTTAATGACGTGTCTGTTGGGCCTCACTGGCTGCTTTTACATTTTCACAATTTTTCTGAACATCCTCCTGGTGTGAATTAAAAGAACACATTTGCTATTCTCTGCCGTGAGAAGTGACTATTATGTACTATTATGTATGTATTATGTATCTTATATCAAATCAGAATCTCATATCATAACTTAGAGAAATATCTCATTTATCTGGCCTAATGGTGAGTGATATTTATAATTGAATTAAATCATTATACAACTGATACTATTGAACATATTGAATTATTTTACAATCTTTCCAAATAAGACCTTATCACCTTTTAACTGAGGATGAGTAGATTGTGTAATACAGAATTACAGATAAAGATTTTTATTTAATTATAGAGTTCTATGCCTCTATGTCAAGCAATAAACATTGACTTTTTCTAAAAGTTTCTTTTGTATCCCTTCATCTCTTAGGTACATCTTCCCCCTTCTCTTAAGAAATTGAAGCAGTGGTAGCAGAGAGCCTATCTCAAGGGCCTTTCCCTTTACCCCAGCACAGACTGTTGTGTTGTAGATACTAAGACCATTGTCATTTGTCATTATTGCTCTACTTAGATTCGTATTTTCTTGAAAAAAGAAAACTTTCTGTGCACCTATGTCTTTAACAAACTTGAACAAGAGAGGCTGAATTGGTAAATAAGGAAAATCAGAGTGAGCAAAATTTCTTTGTAGAATTGGAGCATATTCCCAACATGTTTACTGTGAAGATAGATTCACATGCACTTTGCTCACTGAAGTTAGCTTCTTCAAAGTCGTTTCTATTGTTATGACTATTCCTGCATTAAGATTTCTTTCCATTTTTAGTTCATTACATATTTTCATTTTCATTCCATTCAGTGTTCTTTAGAGGTCAGTGTTTCTTCTCTTCCTCTCCTTCTCTCAGCTTCTATTTGTCACCACAATTCTAAATGTCTGTATGCTGAGTACGAGGCTGTGTCATACCTAAATTGAGTAAATATGGAGTAATTTCAGCCCTGCTTTTATACACTCTATGATATTTGGCTATAATTTCACATCTTTTAGAACATCCATGTCCTCATCAGGAAATATTAATTCAGTGATATTTGATATGGGATTATTATAATACGTTTTAAAAAACAGTAAGCGATGCTATTGTGGAATAAAAGAGTGATTAAATTGCAGTGATTTTCTTTTTTTCCAAGTGGCTGACATCTTAGAAAGAGGACAAATTATAGTGTAATTGTAATGATAAGTTTGTTTGCCAGCTTTCCATAAAGTGAGAGAGTGAAGTCACAGCCATGGGGAGGAGGAACTGGGAACTTAGAGGGAAGAGAAAAATAAAAGTGAGAAAAATGTGTTTCTCCCAAAGCTAAGTTCCCACACCAGCACCCCCAGCCCAGTCACATCACTGAAGCAGTTGGTTTATATCTACTCCCAGGTACCATTGGAGATTGGAAAAATCACATGACTGTTGCCCAGAATGAAAGGTTTGACAAGATTTTCCAAAAGGAGATGAAAGATTTTCCCTTGAAGTTCATCTGGGATATAAATGAAGAATAGAATCCTAAACTCAGCCCAAATGTTTTAAGAAAACATGTTCAGAAAGAAACATTTAATAATACACTCTAATATCTTTGACTAATATTGGATCACAATTGAAAACCTTAATGATTAATAAATAGTAATAGAGTAATTCTACATAATTTGGCATATGCGACCTGTTTTCCATTTCGTGGGTTCATCAATTTCTGATGTAAAAAGTATTCTCCTTATTGCATTAGCATATAATTATGGAATATTGTATTTTACTTTCAAGTAATTCCTCAATTCTTGAGTAAAAGAAGAATTCATAACATAACCAATTTGCTATCTTGTAATGGAAGGTTTGCTATTATAAAACACTGCTTATTGTCTTTTTTCATGTTAAAGAGCTTAATATTTACATAACCATGTGAGTGAAACTTTTATTTTAACTTCTAGGCTTTATGTTTAACTTAGGAAGGTTGCCACTCCAAATATTTTCATATAGTCACATATCATATGTTGGGTTGACCTAGATAATATGCTTATGCTGTAAAAAATTATTTTTCTAATAGATAAAAAAGTAACTTAAACTGTTTATTGAATAGTCCATCATTTTCTTACTGATTAAAATGGACATTATCATGTTCTAAATAATTGTAGACACATAAGTTGAGTTGTGTAAAATGTCATGTTTGTTCTCCTAGTATGATTTTCTCTTCCAAAATTAGGACATATAATTTCTAAAATAAAGTTATGAACTCTCAGAAAGAATCTTTTGGTATTATTGTAAGTATTGCTTTAAAGGTAATTTAAACCAAACCATTATCAACTGAGTAGTCTCATTCAGAAATATGTCACACCATTTATTTGTGTTTTCTTTTCCCAGATCATTTGGTAAAGACATGTGGTTCTTATGTGTGCCAGCTCATTTCTTGCTACGTTTAGTCCTTATCATACATGTATATATTTATAACATTGTAGTTATTGCAAGTAAGAAATTTTATCAGTTAAATTTTCTGACTCTTTATCGCTGCTCGTGGTGTTTGCTGCTCGTCTATAGTCTGGGTTTCTGGCATTAAGTCTGGCTGAGTGGGGAGCAATGCAGCTCGTCTGAGGCTGCAACTAGTGTGGAGGCTGCCACACCACCCACCAGCTTCTGTGTACATCTCTGCTGATTGGTGCCCAATTTAGGGTGGCTGGCTGCCTCACTTGCTTCATTTCCATATGCTCATAGCTCTGCTCACCTTTCCTGAGAAACACAAATAATTTCTTTCATCACTGCTTCTTTAAACAAGAATATAAGGGGCTCTGACTCCAGCATTGGGAGAGGATTTCTCAGTCCCCATGACTCCTCCTGGCACAGTACCTCCTCCCTTCAGAACGCATAACATCCCCGGGGGGCATGGAGGAGGTGACTTTTGCCTAGAAATAAACATTCATTTTTCCTTCCTTTCTCCTTATGTCTTCTAAAACAAGTTTAGGTTAGGAGTGGGAAAGGGAATATTTTGCTTAAAAGAATGAATATTGGTACCTTCTGTCTACAAGATATTGGCATTAGAATTTTATGTGAATTTTCTGCAAGAACTATTAACAAATCCTTATAAGGTCGGTGATATTTCATAAATGAGCATATAGGAATTAGAGCACAGTAAACTTAACTCTGAAGAGCAAATAGGCAGTAAGTGTTAGCACTATGATTCAAACCTTCGTCTGTCTGACTCCATAGCTGAAAATCTTACTCTCCCCTTAGCTTTTCATACCAAATTAGTGCTTAACTTGGTTTAGTCTGAGTTGCCATTTTAACTTGATTAAAGTCTACCTCTGGTTCATCCACATTCCACTGAAAACATGAAAGGCCTTTTCCCTCGGCCCTTCATTCAGAAGTTCTTCTCTGCAGAGGTGCTGATTTTAGTTCTTTAGTCTTCCACCCTAGGATGTCAGAATCTGGCCTAAAGTAGATTTGGCAAATGTACCCAGGAAAGGGAACCAAGGATACCTAACCTACACAAGGGCTCTATCTTCTTTGGAATTTTAATTTATCTAACACTTACTAATTACAGAGAGCTAAGGTTTTTAAATATATAACTTTTGTACTTTGTTTTTTTTTATCATTTTTTGCCAACGGAACATTGGCCTCTCATGACTTTCTGTATCCTAACTGCAAAAGATGGGAAATCTTAACCATATCTTTTAGGATGATATGTATAATGCTTACCAAGGTAACTTCTTATCTACTGCTGTAATTGACCAGTTATGGGGGCCACTCTTCAATTCCAAAGAGTGCAAGTTGTCTAACTTTCCACTGTAGTAGAAATAAAAGCAAGGTGATATTTTGTGAAGGAATTTAACTCCTGATATATTTAACCTTCAAATACATTTTCAAGGCAACATGAGTGTTGCATGGAAATTATATCCCTTAAGTAAATTAGGTAATCCAAGAGTATGACCCTACTGAGGACATATGTATTACATTCAATGATCCCCAAAGCAGTGACTCACTTTGTCATATAAATCATTTCTCTAATCATGTCCTTGAATGTGATTCAGTTGCCTTATTAACATAAAGAAATATTTTTATATTATATTATTAAATTATCATGTGTTCTAAAAGCAGAGATCAACTGATGAACCTATATTCATGAATGGGAAGCCATGATTTCTGGTATCTAATTTGTAACAATCTTTTATTATAACTCATTTGATCAAGTAGATGCTTCTGTGTATGTGAAATCACATTTTCTTGTGTTTTTCACATGAATCTGTTTCCAAATACACATTCTCCAAATGCCCAAGTTGAGGGAAAGGTTTTAGTTCAAACAAGACACACATATACAGTGACAGCAATTTTTTCAAATTTTAGTGTACAATAATTTCCTGGTTTGTGTATAAAAGTATAGACTTCAGGGCCCCAGTTCAGAGAGATTTTGATTTTGTAGGTTGTGGGTAAGGTTCAGAAGTCTGAGGTTCGTGGGTAGACTGTCACCACACTTTAAGTGATTTTATCTATGGTTACCTTGAACTATAGTTATCACATTAATTATCAAAAGTGTGTTTTGTGTATATGCGTGTGAACCTATATCTTTATCTCTCTATGAAACTATATCCTTCAGATTGTTTCTAAAAATTTAATCAGTGATCTATAAACAGGATTTAGAACCCATTTCTAGCTTTGATAAATTACATAATCTCTTTATTTGGAACATACTGAGGAAGTTGGATTTGGTGGCTCCAGGAATGCAATTCTTTTAGACTGTTTAATTTATGGATGAGAGTTTTTATAGTGTACTTGTTTCCTATATTGATATTGATTTTTCGAATGAGGTTAGATTTCTTATCAGAAAAATTTTTTGTGTTGAAATATGAAGTGTTCCTTACTCAATGCAGAGAGCTTTATAATATAAATTGAAGTGACTGTTTAGGTTATATAACTCAACATTGGAAACTCAGAATATCAATTGTAATTTTTCACTTGAATGAACAAGGCATGTGTGTTCCCTTTCTAGATTCATTGTGATGTACCATTACTGCTTAAAAATTTTGATATTTTCTTTTTTTCTTCTTTTTTATTAAGGTATCATTGATACACAATCTTATGAAGGTTTCACATGAGCAAAATTGTGGTTACTACATTCCCCCCTATTCTCAAATCCCCAAAAAATACACCATTACAGTCATTGTCCATCAGAGTAGTGAGATCCTATAGAGTCATTACTTGTCTTCTCTGTGCTACACTGCCTTCCCCATGCCCCACCCTATATGATGTATGCTAATCATAATACCCCTTAATCCACCTCTCCCTCCCTTCCAACCTGCCCTCCCCCACTCCTCTCCTTTGGTTACTGCTAGTCCATTCTTGGTGTCTGTCAGTCTGCTGCCATTTTGTTCTATCAGATTTTGCTTTGTTGTTATACTCCACAAATTAGTGAAATCATTTGTTACTTGGCTTTCTCTGGCTGGCTTATTTCACTGAGCATAATACCCTTTGGCTCCATCCATGTTGTTGCAAATGAAAGGACTTATGTTCTTCTTATGACAGAATAATATTCCATTGCATATATGTACCATGTCTTCCTTATCCATTCATCTACTGATAGACACTTAGGTTGCTTCCATATCATGGCTATTGTAAATGGTGCTGTGATAAACATAGAGGTGCATATATCTTTTTGAATAAGGGATCTTGTTTTCTTAGGGTAAATTCCTATGAGTGGAATTCCTGGGTCAAATGATATTTCTGTTTTCAGATTTTTGAGGAACCTCCATACTGCTTTCTACAATGGTTGAACTAATTTACATTCCCACCAGCAATGTAGAAGGGATCCCCTTTCTCTGCATCCCTGCCAGCATTTCTTGCTGCTTGTCTTTTGGACGTTGGCCATCCTAACTGGTGTGAGGTGATATCTCACTGTGGTTTTAATTTGCATTTCTCTGATGATTAATGATGTGGAGAATCTTTACATGTATGTGTTGGCCATCCACATTTCTTCTTTGGAGAAGTGTCTGTTCAGCTCCTCTGCCCATTTTATAATTGGGTTATTTGCTTTTTGGGTGTTGAGACATGTGAGCTCTTTATATATTTTGGATGTTAAGCCCTTATCAGATATGTCATTTATGACTATATTCTCCCATACTGTAGGATGCCTTTTTATTCTACTGATGGTGTCCTTTGCTGTACAGAAGCTTTATAGTTTGATGTAGCCCCACTTGTTCATTTTTGCTTTGGTTTCTATTGCCTGACTATATATGTTCATGAAAATGTTGCTCATGTTTATATTCAAGAGAGTTTAGCCTATTTTTTTTTCTCAGAGTTTTATGGTTTCATAACTTGCATTCAGGTCTTTGATCCATTTTGAATTTACTTTTGTGTGTGCAGTTAGACAATAATCCATTTTCATTCTCTTACATGTAGCTGTCCAGTTTTGCCAACACCAGTTGCTGAAGAAGCTGTCATTTCCCCATTGTATGTCCATGGCTATTTATTGTATATTAATTGACCATATATACTTTCATTTATATCTGGGCTCTCTATTCTGTTCCATTGATCTATATTTCTGTTCTTGTACCAGTACCAAATTGTCTGGGTTACTGTGGCTTTGTAGTAGAGCTTGAAGTTGGGCGGTATAATAGCCCCCATTATTTTATTCCACCCAGGATTGTTTTGGCTATTCGGGGTCTCTTGTGATTCCTTATGAATTTTAAAACTATTTGTTCTAGTTTGTTGAAGAATGTTGTTGGTATTTTGATAGGAGTTGCACTGAATCTGTAGACTACTTAAAGCAGGATGGTCATTTTGACGATATTAATTCTTCCT